GACTTGTCCTGTTAGGAAATGGTGAACATGCTAGAATTTAGCATTTCTATGACTCAACTCTGCTCTTTTGCAGCACTTCGCAGCTTCTAATGATATTGCTATTCCTTGGTATTTATTGAGCAACTAAATTATAAATGGCATTACAATATTCCAGATGGACATACAGCCTGAATATGTAGATTTAGAGGCTCTTTTGAACTGATTTAACTCAAATCCTAAATTAGGATAATTAACCAATGATTTAAATGACTCCCATTTAAATTAGTGCAGTGGCTAGAACCAGAAAGCACAGTGGTTACCTTTTGTTGATCCCTGAGTTCCAACACTGTACAAATACACGTATTCTATAACTTTCAACATTCTCTAAGGAAGCTGTTCTCAAAGGGTTGTCTACAGACCAGAGCAACATTAGTATTACCCTGGTACTTGTTAAAAATACAAGTTCCAAGGTCTCATTCCATACCTGCTGTTTAGACTATCATCATGGGATAGAGCAATCTGTGCTTTAACAAGCCCTTCCAGTGATTCTGATGACACTGAAGACTGAGAACCACTATCTAAGTGAAGAATGGAAAGGAACGTTCTATTTTTGATAATTATTTACTGAAGCAGCTAAAACTGAAATTGGATCTGGCTTTAGAAGACTTCAAAGAGAAAGTTCTGCAAGAAATAATTAAAAGTCAAGTAACCAATCAATTGACTGAATCAGGGCTAAAAAGTCACTCAGTTATTTCCTGTAGAGAAATAAGGTACTGAAAATGTTAAAGAAAGGCTCAGTAAAATTATCAGAGAATATCAGAGTAATGATTCTAGCAAGGGAGCAGGAAAAGAGCATATTTTCCTGTTTAGCGCAAAGAAACAAATGTTGTTGTTTTATGTTTTGTGTGTTTTTTTAAATATGTCTTTATTGATTTCATAGAGATGGAGAGGGACAGTGATAGAAACATCACTGATAAGAGAGTCATTTATAGACTGCCTCCTGCACACCCCCTACAGGGGATCGAGCCCAAAACCCAGGCATGTGCCTTGACCAGGAATCAAGCCTCTAACTCCTGGATCACAGGTCAATGCTAAACCACTGAGTTACACAAGCTGGGTGAAACAAATGTTCTTTATGCTGTCTACTACATGAAATAAATTATTTTTCTAATTTTTGATACAAAAATAAAAATAAACACTAAGAGCTCAATACTTTGATATGAAGGTCTATATTAAAGTCTATATGAAATATGGAAGGAAATATTTAATTATCTAAGCCAAACAGGCAAAACCTAAATATCTTCATTAAATTCTCCATTGAAAAAATATTTTAATATATTAACAATCACAAACATTTAAACAATATATAAGGGCAAGAGGAGAAAATGTCAGAATAATAGGAAGACAACTGTTTCTATTTGCTTCAATGTCCTCACTATAATTTATATAGCAATCCCAGATCCTTTCTTAAGTCCAAAATGTTTAATTACTTCCTACTGAAATTCAATAAATAAAAAACTGAGTATATCCAATCAGGTCCCTGAAACCTTTTCTCATAGTACCTATCCCAATTAAAAGAGTTAATTTTTTCCAGCTATAAACCCTTACACCTTCTTTCTCTTTCTCATCTAGGCCCTTCTCATGCTCCCTCATGCTCTCTACCCAATAACATTTTTTATTTACCAAATCCAGTTCATTTAAATTCATAATTGCATGAGTACTTGTTTTTCTTTCCCCCTTTCCATTGTGATCACCTTTATTCATATTCCCACATTATTTCTACTGTCTCTCTTCATAACTAGACCTTAAGACTCTGGCAAACAGGAACAATGTCTCCTCCCCAGAGCCAAAGCACAATAAGAATCCTCGGATTTTTCTCAGGAGAATGTACTGGATGAAAACACAAACTAATCTGAAATCTCAAAGCCCTTGTGATTTCAGGATGCCATCAAACACTGAATTTTTTTTCCAGAGAAATAAAATAATATGTGACAAATTTGTAAAAGAATATATAGTGTAATCGACATGTGTCAGATTTGCATGGTTTTTGTATTAGATTCTGTTTCTTGACTCATTTTAAGACAAGTTATGTTTATTTTGTCCACTTGGCTATTTTTGTTTTTAGGCTTTAACACTTGGCTTCAATGACCTCACCAAAATTAATGGCAAATTTGGGGGATATCCATGAGACTGAGGCTTAGGCAAATTATGATATCAAAATTGACTTTCAACAATCTAAAGATTCATCTAAAGAATTACAATTTGTGAAAGAAAAAGTTCCAGTCTAGAACATATTTGCTACATACAACACACTGACTTATAGAAACCTATTCCAGAAGATGTTGGCTGTCTTTAGGAGCTGTATTACCTAAGTAAATCACAGATAAACAGCCAAGCTTTAATAGTGTTTGACTGCATCTCCAGGCCCCAAAGACATCTTTTGTGTGCTGTATACTATATACATTTCATGTTGCAACAACCCGTTTTATTGTACAACATACCAAGATCTCAGAGTAGGTAGTTTGGATTTGCTCTTTCAAATTATAAAGTTCAAACAAAAAGATACAATTTTATTTATTTTTTTAAATTCTCAGTGCTTTCACTGAAGAGGAAAATTTTTGGCCAGAAAACGGATTCAAGAGGAATCTTCCAAAAACACATGGCCTAGGATGTTTTAGACTCTTTGCAGGTTTCAAACCTTTACTGCCTTTCATTAACAAAGTTTAGATCAGGAGCCAGAACCTACTTGTGAGATAAGAATTTAGCTCAAAAGTTTAACATCTTCCAACAAACACTCCAATAATAGCAGGTATCTTCCCTAGACACCAAATAACTCTAGCCACCACAAATGTCATTGACTAAAGAGACATTGAAATGTATAGCCAATGTTCTCTACAGAATAGAACTAAGTCTATTTTATAATAAATGTGAAAAACACATTTAATAGCAATTTTATTCTATAGACTTGTTGCAATTTAAATGATTTAGACCACAGTCACAGCTGTCTTATGGTTTCCTATATAGGCATAAAATAAGAGGGTGTGCACTCTAAGGTCTTTATTATTAGAAAATACAAATACTTTAGGGATATAATTATGGAAGGAATTTCAAAATCACAAGGTGACAGAGGAAGTAGCACCTGAACTTACACAGATAAAAATACACTCCTAGTCACTCTTAAGTATCCTATACTCTCTTGGTGAAAAAGTGGGATATAACATTACATATGTCATTAGATATTACCATTACCTGTCTATCCCTATCAAGTGTCATATAACTTTGAAAGGATAGATGAATCAAGGAAATTTTTCTATCAGTAAAATTTAGCAATCTAAAAAGGTAAAGCACAGACACCTGAATATGAAACAGACAACAAAGAGTGAGCAAAGCCTGGCTGGCATGGCTCAGAGGTTGAGCATCAACTTATGATCCAGGAGACTGCAGTTTAATTCCCGGTCAGGGCATATTGCCTGGGTTTCAGGCTCAATACCCAGTGAAGGGGATGTAGAAGGTAGCCAATCAATGACTCTCATCACTGGTGTTTTTATCTCTCTCTCCCTCTCCCTTCCTCTCACTAAAATCAATAAAAACATATTTTAAAGAAAGAATTAACCAATCAGATGCAACCTTATTATGGGAGGGGGCCAATATGATGCAACTCTAATATATGACCTATATATTTATGATTCAAGACAGGGCATTCACACCAGACTGCTATTATTGTGTTGGCTGTTGTGATTTTTTTAATTTGATAATCTAAAGGAAAAAAGGTCAGTGTCCCTGACTAAATAGTCAAGTACTGCATGTTGTAAAAATTTTTGCAGCACAGCCTGGTTGAAAATCAATGCTTTAAAAGAATATCAAGTCTCCTAACAGTCTATCATTTGCAGAAATAGAGATTTGTGGATTATCAAAGTGGGCAGAAATTGCTAGAGATGTAATAACACACACATTTAATAAGATTTTACTTTAAAAGACAAATTTTGAGCTACTGTGGTATGTTCAATGTCTTTTCAATTAGTAAAATAGACTTCATGCAGGGAAGTGAAGAGTTCAGTGTGAAAGGAAAAGGATCAAATAGACAATTCAGATACAGGGAAATAACAAAGGGGAGGGTCTAGACCAGGAGTGGGGAACATCCAGTGGGCTGTATACTGCCCCTGAAATCATTTGGTCTGGCCCTGCCAAGGCAACCACGGGCCGGACTCAAAATTCAATAAACCTAGGAGCTTTTTTCATACCTAATTTTTAAGCTGATAATTTTGTGTGGCCCTCAAATGATGTTATAAATATCCAAATGGCCCCTGGCAGAAAAAAGCTTCCCCACCCTGGTAGACAGACAAATACAGTCTTTATTCATTTCTATCTGATTTCTCTATTCCTTAGTGATAAAAACAGGGAAATAACAAGGAAAAAGAAAAACATATTGTGTGTCATTTTAGTTTATTTTCTACTGATGATATTAAGATGTAGCTTAAAATTTTGCCAATAATAAATTTGATATTAAGTTTATAGTCAGAGATTAGTTATTTTCTGGTAAACTATTAAAAAGTTTAAGTCTCAATTTAAGACAATCCACTAGAATTTGCTGAAGAACAATATCAAAATTTGATGACACAATTCACAGTCTCAAAACAGGCAAGCAGCTTAAACAGAAAAACACCAAAAAAATTCAGCCTGCTACTGTAGAATGTTAGAAAACGAAAGGCAAGAGGGAAAACACCCACACCTGCACAATAAGTCCCAAACAACATTATATGTTGAGCATTACATAGAAATGTTTCCAATGGAAAGAAAGCCAACATAGGTTACTTTGTTTTGCTTTGGTTCTCACTAAAGGTCTGATTTGCCAGGTTAAGTGGTGGTGGCAGTGACTGCTGGAGGATATGAACTGGGTGCTTAACAGTTTTCTATCATAATAATTCTGATTTCAATGCTTCTATTAACATTTGAGGGAATGTGAACACCCATAGAAACCTTCTGCAAGTAAAATGAATTAAAAACAATATTTTTGCACATACCTGTTTTTCTCCACTGGGCTTTTTGTGGTTCAATAACAGCTCAACAGCTCCAACAACTTCTTTCCTGATTGCATGTAATAGAGCATCGCCAACATAGACATTAAAGCTTAAGAGTAGTTCAATGAGCTCCAAGTTCTCATTTTCAATTGCAATTAGGAGAGCAGTTCTTCCAAGAGGATCAATGCAATTAATATTGATTTTAAAATAAATTTCAGCTTCCTCTAGGGATTTCTTGACACTTGCATAATCTCCCTTTTCCACAGCATTTAAGTAGGCTTTTTCTGATGGAGAGAGTTCTGATTCTGCTCGAACTATCCTTAGAGGGATGCGGTCTCTGTAGGGTGCATTAACATTTCTTTTGTAGTAGAACTGAGCCATGTTTTATGCCATGCTATTTCTTTTTGTCTCTGAAAGCACAAACAAAAACAAAACAAAAAACACAAAGATTAGTGTTAGTACACTTTTAATTATTATGCATTACACTTAACTCACAATTATGTTAATAACAACAATGATGCTATTATCATTAAGTAATAATAATGAAGTTTTTTCCCTTAAACAATGGAAATGGATTTAGTAAGTATTCAATTACCTGCAAACATAAGTTACAAAGTCCTAATCTAAGAGGAATAAAAAAAGGTTAGTATTTGCAAGTTATTTTAAAAAATTACTTTGCTAGTGACATTTGTCAAAGGATATGCCTATAGATTTTTGGAAATTTGTAAGATTTCTCATAAGTATATATAATTTTCAGCAGAAAAATCTTGAAAATCAGAGGCTGTATCTTTCAGATTCCAAAATTGGACTACAGATATTCAAATATATCATTCATTATCAATTTTGCTAATCATGGAGATGCTGTTGAGATTACGAATATCACTATCTTGGACATATTTTTTTGTCATGTAGTATATTCTAAATGTTATAAGTATTGACATTAAAGTTAAAGTGAATTAATGATATCAATGTCAATAAAATGTTATATTGAGCATAATTTTATTTTTTGTTTTGTAAGTAAATTCACTGAAGAGGAAAGCATGTGTACTCAATATATTAATGATCAAAATGAGCTCAGGCAATTCAATGTTCAAAGGAAGGATTTAGAAAAGGATTAAATGGAGAATTTATTATGAACAGGCTATTTTCTTAATTCTATTACCTTTAGATCATGAAGCAATAAACCACAAGGTAGTAATATAATTATTATAAAATGTATTATTATTTGAACGTGATAGTAAAAATATAGTTGTAGATGAGAAAATTATTTTAAATAAATAAAAGCTCATCTTAAGATAGAGTAATAATAAAAAGGTTGCTGATAGCTATATTGATTTAGTATCACCTTAGTGTCACAAATTTACAGAAAAAATGTATTATATTTTGAATGTAATTTTTATTATTGTTAGTTTTTTATTTCATACTCATGATCTGAACTATTTTATTATTTATTCTATGTCATTTATATTCAAGTCACATGTTTATTTACAAACCCTTGCCATATTAAATTAATATGAATGGGGCATTCTAGGTACCTGAGCAAACATATTAATCTTAATTGATCTTTTTAGACCAAATATTTTATGAGTAAATTAACTTGATGTGAATAATGCTTTAACTATAGACTAAATATATATTGCACTAACAAGTGTAATTGTATTTAATGTAATGTCTTCATTTTGAAAATTATGCATTGTTTGCATGCTAACTCAGTTTAATAGAAATTTCAGTTATCAAGCCAGGTAAGTTTTACCCTTTGATGCCCAGATTACTCAGTATGATTTCTCAAATACCTAGGTTTGGGAACAAATATGTAAAACTGTTATTTTATAATTTGTTCCTTTCTGGCATATTAAATTGAGTATTTTATAAGATGACTTTAAAGACTAAGCTAAAAGTGGGAATCCAATAATCCTGAAAATTTTTCTCAAATATTTTATTAGTCTTGGTATTTTAAATGTATAATATTACCAACTACACAGCATGACATAAATTTATTTTCACAATTGCACACGGGGTATTGTGAGTTTTTTAAATGCCAATATTTTAAAGAGAAATAAAAAATAATTTTTAGAGAAAAATAAAGAGTAATGCTGGTGTTTAAATGTATTAATTTAGATATGCAAATTACTTGCTTGAAGTTTGATTATAATTTTATTATTTTGGGAGTCCTTTAACTCAGTAGAATAATAGAAATAGAATTTATATTATTAGATGAAAAGGACAATTTATTATTCCTCTAGTATAGTTAAAACTTCAATAAAGCAAGATAATTATGATGTTACATATCTCATTCTAATTTTCTGATCCTGAATGCCCCATTTATGTACCAGTGGTAATGATAAAATATTTGCCTTAAAGTGACAGTTATCACCCACTTCCCCAGCACTTCTTTTCCCACTTCATGGAAACATCCAGAAGAGTGTATGAGATCAATGTTGTAGCTTTCATATTCCAGTTTTATCAGGACTAAAATATACATGCTTCATAATGATAATAACTGGTATTTATATTCTATTTCAGCAGTATATATTCTTCTCCATTACCTCTCATTGTTCTTACCTATTGCTCTTGGAAAAATATAAGAATATGCCATTTTTAGAGCTGAATTTGAGGTTTCCTACCAGTAATGTTTTTATGTAAGACTACTGTTTGCATGCAGCTTATCCAAAATATAGGTTAAAATGAAAGTATGAACACACACATACACACACACACATAATCAGAACTTCATGTGAATTGTGACTCAATCAAGACTAGGAGTCACCTAGAGGATGTAAATGTATTCCATTCTGCTTTATTTCATTTACATTATTTTATTAAGACAGTGTCAAACAGAGAATTAGATATTAAATAGCATTTGACTTCTCTTTTTCAAAGTGAAGGATGTCAGTGATAGTGAAGGGATTGGTGAACAACAGAGAAGCTACTGAGAACTTGGGAGAGGGGAGGGGACAGATAATGAGAATTAGGCTTGTTAAAATCTATTTAAGTTAATCCATATAACTGCCACAAAAATAAATTACATAAGTAAATTTTTAAAAGAGTGATACACTGAAAAAAAGGCATTTCTAGTCAACATTGTTAAGATGTGAACTGGGCATAAGACATTAATTATATGTATACTGTTTATCCATCCATAAAGTGAGGTAAACAACAACTCACAAAAGAATGGGGGGAGAACCAAAGAATGCTAAGAAGGATCTTTTATTAACTGTAATGACCACTTCCAATACAGTAAATTTGAAAAAAATAAGAACTCATATTGGGAAAACTAGATGGTTTTGAAATATATTTAAAATTTAAATACATCAAATAAATAAAATTTAAATATTTACAGTGTAATATTAAAACAGAGGGAGAGAGAGAAGACAGAGAAGGCAACCGATGGCAAAATACCTTAAAAGAGTAAGGAAGGTTATTTTTCAATACATAGACTTGTCTTCCTGGGTTATCTGAGAGGTAGCAATACATCTAATAGGAGGGGGAAAATCAAGTTTAACGTTTTAAAACTGATATACAAATGCAACAGCGAGTGGAAGGTGCTGAAGAGGCCGATGGAGTTTCTAAACTGTCATATTTATCAGCGACAATGGAATTGCTACTGAATAGAAAGTCAGTAAAAGAACAGGGGACACAGCTGAGAAAATATCTTGACCTAAAATGTGGAAATAAAAGCCTGCTCCTGGTCCTGCACTTTCAGAATAAACTTTCTGGAGGGGAAAAGATGTTTATTGCCATGAAATTACATTATTTAACAAAGCCTTTAATTTCAGTGTTCCCTTTATAACACATATACCAGAAGTGAAGTGACTGCTTCATTAAGTTAAATTTCATAGAGTCAGAGGAGATATGGGAAGTGATGGCAAAAAATAAAAGAAGAAAAAAAAGATGTGAATTTTTAATTAACCTAAAAGTTATCTTCCCTAAATTTGTTGGAGATTTAAAAAAACAAAACTGTGGAGAGAGCTAATCTTGACATCAATCCCAAGAGTAATTTTTAAAAATTGTCATTAGATATGAGAACCACAATTATCTAATTAACATACAGACATTCCCTGACTTACAATGATTGGACTTAAGATTTTTCAATGTACCAACTTTACAATAGTACATTCAGTAGAAATCCTCTAGTATAATACTCTCTCATGATGCTAGGCAGTGGCAGTGAGTCTCAGCTCCTAATAAGCCACTCCATCACGAGAGTAATCAACCAATACTCTAGATGTACTACATTGCCAGAGTTATTTTGATATTGTTTTATGCGTCACATCCCATCATGTCTACAAAATGCACATCTGTGTCTCCTGCTTCTAATGAAGAAAGAAACTCAAGATGGCTAAGGTAAGTGTTCTGAGCACACTTAAAGGTAGCCTAGGCTAAACTATGATGTTCAGTAGATTAGGTGTATTAAATGCATTTTCCACTTAGGATTGTGTTCATTGAGATGTAACCCCATTGTAAGTTGAGGAGCATCTGTACAAAAAACACACAAAACTTCTAGATATTTATATGGATCAGAAGGCATAGTCCCTAAAGGATAAACTTAATTGTGCAGTAGAAACAATGAATTTGAATTCCAAAAATCACAAAGGAAAATAATTATACAGAAACCTCAACTCTTGAGCATACATTATTAAAGATAAAATAAAATTTCCCCAAACATCTTTTTTTGTGTGTATGTGCTTTTTATTTCCTAGTTCACTGTCAAAAGATACGTTTCCAGGTGTGTTCTCAAGATATAATGAGGAATAAAGACTCCCATTTTTTCTTAGGTTACCACTATACATCTTCAGTTGCATTTGTACTTCTTCTGGAATCTGTTATGAAATAAAATTTTCCTGGATAATTTATTCACACTCCAATTCAGATACTTTTTCTTTCTATTGGTATATTATCTCAATAATATTTGGCATAATATATACTGCACAAAAAAGCATAACACTCTGTTTTTCCTACTATTCTGAATTCCAGATTCATTTCTACTTCCCTTAAGCAGGACACTAAATGAACATTTTAGTAGTTGTGTGTCTTATACCAGAAACGCCACATATTGACTGAAATGTTTTGTGACAACCTGACCAACACTTAACTGCCAATTTTTTCCTCTTGTTTTGATGTTATATTTTGTGTAGTACAATGAACTACTAAGTTCTGTCAAAAATTTTAGGGACATTTCTATGAATTCTAAGATGATCTTACATTACTCAGTGAAAGAAAAAGCACATTATAAACTATAATATTCTGATATCCTAGCCCTGGCTGATGGCACAGTTGGTTGAAGCATTGTCCTATATACCAAAAGGTAAGAGGTTTGGTTCTTGGTCAGGGCACATACCTAGGTTGCAGTTTGATCCCTGGTGGGGGCGTGTACAGGAAGCAACCAAATGATGTTTCTCTCCCACATTGA